AAAACCCTCAAGTCAAGGCCCCCCCCCCCGTTGTTTTTTTTTTTGGAATGTGTCTATTTTGAAGCTCTATTGATCCTAGAACAGAATATCAAAAATTAGCTTCCTATTTTAGGCTGTAACACCACATGTCACAACATACCCCACACTTGTGTTTAGGAAAAAAAAAAAAAAACAACAAATGACTAATTCTACCAGTCTAATGCTATTTACTCAGTTACCAAAATTTAAATTAATTATGTTCTCAAACATAATTGTTAAAAATTGGCAACATTATGCAGGCTTAATTAAGATTAAATCCAATTTACTAAATGTACTTTAATTGGTACTAATTACATTAGCTTTCCTTTCAGAATGACAAATTCCCCATAGGTTTCACTTTAATAGTCTTCTATCAAAATCAACACAGGATGACTGATGATGAGCATCACACAGGGGGGTGGGAAAAGAGATGCTCTTCCCCCCACTCCCCCGCCCCCACCGACACACAGGCACACTCACTACCGCTGCTCTCTGTGCTTTTATCCTTTTATCAATTTGCTAAGTCACAGAGTCATGACTCCAGCACAGCCATCATTTTCTGTTCCAGTGAAAAATTTCTCTAAAAATAAATACTCTGTGGCTGGGAGCAGCCAAGAAGAACAGAAGCTTTAACAGAAAAATACACAAAGGTTTCAAATATCAGGGCCACCAATTACTAGGGTACTTCCAAGGACTCCAGAGAGTCCTGCTCTTGAACCCTTTGAGACACAAATCTAATAAGTGAATAAGCCTAACCTGATCTTGAGAACTAGGCCCAATTACGCCGAAGGGCAACTTCACTGCATTATTGCCTGCTTTCCATTACAAGGGCATCCAGCGAGTACATCTGGAAAAGAACCTGAGAGGAACCAAGGCTGTCTGCCCAGAAAAACAAATAAAGACAGATATGCCTCTGTGCTGAAGTGAAAAAAAGAAAGATCGCTCAATTTCAGCCGAGTGAAATTCAAAGATGGGAGAGGAAGAGAAGGGAATTTTAGGTGGAAGACTGAAAAAAAAGCTTTGTACACATAAACAAAGCAATCAACACTATCTGTATAATACACCAAACTGGACCTTCATGCTGTGATCATAGAACAAGATCGCAAATATTTTGCAGATGCTGAAGCAGGGGGAGAAAGTAAAAAAAAACCAAATGCTGTGGCAATAGAATGAAGACATGAGAGACATGAAATTGATCTCAGATTTGAGAACAACAGCGAACAAGTTTCTTAGCTGCAGCTAATTTGAATCAACATCTGACAAAATATTTAAGTGTTTTGCATGAGAGTACAATACTTAAACCACTAATTTGAACAGTCTGAACAGTAATGGAAAAAGGTGTTTAATTAAAACCCAGTCATTTGTAATCCCCACACTTAGTTGTAACTATTTAATTTCTCCAGAATATCTCTGACGACTCCATCACCATAACTGTACGCAATTTCTGAAGCAAAGCATTTAGAAATTAAAAGTTAAAAGGGCTTCTGCTGTGGGTTTCTTTCCCTCCGCTTCAAACAATTTAATTAGACATTGCAATTTCAAGCTGATTTTGTCCCACGGAACTTTGTGCAGTCAGTGTCAAGTCCACCTACAACTAATGGTTGTAAAAACAGTGTAGCCAGAAATACAAACAAGTCTGATCGCAATGCCTGCTTTCAAACGCCTGTCACAATTTGCTAGGTAGGTGGCCTGTAAGGACTCTGGTCTTTGTGAATTGTTTCCATATCTACTACTTTACTGTTTGGGGTGGGCTTTTTTGGTTTGTTTTTTTTTAGTGGGTGAGCAATGACTGCTTGTGTTTTTGTTGCCTTTTTTTTTTTTTTTAATGGAACCTGAAACAATTCGGCTATTCATGGGAGAACAACACCTCCGAGAGTCAGCGACCAGCCTTTCCACCAGCACCCACAACCTGACTCGAGTCCAGAGAGTCACCATGCACGAAGGTACAACCCCACCAGCTGCAATCACAGCCTTTTTCTCGCAACCGTTCGTGAAACGCACTTGAATGGTCTTCACGGTTAGCTACCTGCGAGGAGGACATCTGAACTCAACAGGTCTACATATGCGTCTGTGAAAAAATGTGTACGTGCAAGGTCCCGTTAAGTTTGGAACTGCGGACGCAAAACGCTTTGAGGCAGGAAATCTCACCATCTTCATATTTGTATGCCATCTAGCGCAAACAGCCCTCATCAGTACTGTGGCACTGGGATGATAATGGCATACAAAATACAATAAATAGCATGAAAAAAACATTTGATTTGTACGTCTGCTCTCAACAAGATAAAGAAATCCTATTTCCACAACCCAGAGAAGTTCCAAATCCCTAACTCTGAACAGAAATGTGTACAAACCGATTTTCAGACGGTCTTTCTTCTCCCACCCAACCATTTCTTTATTTCTGCAGTTTACACTCCCCAGCAACGCTGGTGAATTGCTCGGCCATTTGCTAAAATGAGTTGTCAGTATTAAACTCCACCATATAAAAAGTTCCCCCACTGGAAAAGGGGTCAGATGTTTAATTCATTCTCCTCTACAGAAGGTTAAAAACATACATTTCTGAACAAGGAACTCTGATTTACACCACCATGCTCCACCTGACTAATCTCCTGCTAATCTTGGCCTAAGTGCTAGACTTCAAGGCACAAAACTGAGCACGCTAACATCCTTGCAGAAAGCTCATTTGCTCTTTCGTGTTTGAGATGCTAAGACACTGGTGTTGGACAAAGGTCCAAGGGAGCAGCCTGAGGGAAACAGGAACATGGCTGTGCACCGATCGCTTTGTAGCTCCAGCTTAAACCAGTCCTGGTTAACCGAAAAGAGGCTTTTTCGCACACAAATACAAATCCATCGACACCCAATATGCGTTTTCGATGCAGCTATCACACCAAAAAGTCAGCCCTGAAGGCTGAAGGTCAGACAGATCTGAAGGTGCGACCCACACCCCCCTCCACCCCGCCCTGCGCAGCGCAGGACCACCTGCACGCGCGGAAACCGCATGTGGAAAGTCAGCCGAGTAACGCACAACTGGCAGCCAGGCCGTAACGTACGCAGAGCCCATCTATCGTAGGCAAGATGAAAGTTTCAGGGCCAGGTTAAAAAAAAAAAAAAAAAAAAAAAATTCCAACACACTCAAGCATGCAATGAAAGTAAGCCATACAGCACACACATCTGTTTTAAGACCCACAGGAGAAATCACACAGAGCATTCTCACATGAAACAAAATATCTACCTACCTGCTTATGCATCTCTATATTCAGCCCATAGGACATCTCGTAATACTACGAAAGAAGAAAATGACTCTATTAGACCTTGCAATTCTGAAAACCATTCCAAAATCCACTTTGACTCAGACGTCATCTGTACAAAGACATATAGACCTAAAAACGTTTACTGGCCTTGAAGAGCTCCTGGAATTCGAAACAGCATTTCACAGCAATCTTTTGTTTGGGTTTTTTTGCCCTTTTTTTTTTTTTTCTTTATCTACATTGCTTCATATCAAATCTACAAAGAACAGCCGTAAAACAAGCAAACAAAAGAGACAACAAAAACAAAAAATCACGAAAAGTAATCACAACCAGAGTTAAAGATTAGAAACGGAAAAAAAGCCACAGAGAAAACGCTCAAGATTTTATTCCCTAGCACACGTAGAACACGCCAAAAAAAAACCCACCCAAAGTGCTTGAAGTCAGACACACACATAAATCAGCAGTGTCTAACAGACCAGTTATTTAATATTTTAAATTGAAGCCACAAGAAAGCTACAATTAAATAGCAGGGATGCAAAAAAACGAAAGGGCATGGAAATTCAGAGCCAAAGCAGATCCAAGTACGTCCTGTCGCACCCGAGTACTGCGGGGAACTCAGCCCAGTGTGTAACGCTGGTACCAAACAATCTCCGAGACTTAGGTGTACCGAGCACGAAAGAGACAACTGAGAGCCTTAACATTTGCTTGCACTTTTGGTTTCAGAATTATTCAAGGTTGCCTACTCTTTTCACAAATACAAGAGTGTCACTTGTCGCATACATATGGAAAAGAGCTAATCCTTCATAGGTGCACCCGAGAGCCGACAGCAAGAGCTCCTCTGGAGTCACCACGATCCGTCCGTCGCGCAGTTATGTGTTTGGAGGTGCCTTTCCATGCTTATTACTTAACCATGCAGACTGCAGCCACTGAGGAAATCCCTCTCACAGCCGCGATCCCTGGCATCCCGAGTTCAGCAATGAACCAGCTGCCCAGGCGCAACAGTTCTCCGAGGAAACGGGCTTATACGTGTACACGTACAATTCTGGCTTACCCCCATGACAGGAAAAAAAAAAAAAAAAAAATCCCAAACCGTTAGTACAGAGATGTGATCATTGTGGAAAGTCAGCGAAAGCGAAAACATCATCCCCAGGTACACTACGAAAGCCGTACGCGGCTCTGGGGGCTGACAAGCAACCTGCTAGCACTGGAAGAAATACCCCCAGCTGCTGAAAGCGTTAAAACGCCGGTCTCGAGCAGGAGCTAACTGCTGCAAACAAGTTACAAACCTCTGGAACTACGGATTTCTCACGGAAGCACCGATGCAACCCCAACGACAGCAGTGCTGCTACCATCTCTCCGCTCGCCCCCAGCAACCTGAACACATTTCGGTCCCCGCGCACCAAGCTAATAGACATTTTGAATTTGTTATGCTGTCTGCTTACCATGACATAATGTCGCTGCATCTCTGTCTTCTCACTGGCCAGTTTTTCGCATTCTAGCTTTAAACTGTTCCGAGACATAAAAAGGAAAACAGCATGGGTACTTCGTCAGGCAAAACTGACATCCTTTCAAGCACGGGTTACTTCCCCTCTCCAAGCATTTCTCCAACACACAAAACAGAAACGTGCATTCCGGCTCTTGCTCGGGAGTTCGGGGTGGGGTTTGTACTTCTCCTCTTTCGAGAGATGCTGTGCAGCATCCACCTCTCCGAAGCAAAGTGCTGACAGCACGCAGCAGAGTATTTTTCTCTTAACCAAAAAAAACCCCACCACCACCAACCCCAACACCGGCTGACAGCAGGAGCACGCAGGGGCTCGCACTTGTCGCAAGCCTGAGGAGCCACTTCTAAACCTGCAATTTGGGTTTCGGAGTTCTTATTTAAATGAGTTTTGGGAACACCTCTCGCTTTCGCTTGACCCCCGGAAGAACCGAATGCGTGTCACCACTTCGAGGAGAGAAAAGTTGCCGGATTTTCTTTCTTTTGGTTCTTTTTTTTTCCTACTTTTTTTTGTCAGCGATGACAGAACCGGCAAGGAAAACGCCGCCGGGAATTTCAGGGCACCACCG